CCCCCCCCCCCTCTCTCTTTTATCGCATTTGTATTCCGATAGAAAATTTATCGATACAACATATAATTACAAGGTGACGCAAATCCAACGATTTTATATAAACTTATTATCAAATTCGTTTATTCCACTCATAATATATGAGTGATGTGATGTGTGGTGTGATGTTTCATACTCGACACAAACAAGAAAATCAGTTTACAATATATACATATACATAATACATATGAATATGCAGCACTCTAGATCCCACAATGCATATGCACAGAGTGTCTTGTAACTGGTGATAAAAGCAAGCAGAGAGTGATTTCTTTGTTTTTGAGATAAATAAATTTGAACATTTCTTGAGTAAATGTGTTACTTGATTCAGTTTCTATTCTCAACGAATTTTACTTGAATTTTATTTCTTCTTTTTATTTGATTATGCTTATTAACAAGACAAACAAGACTTTTTGCAAGTTGCTGAAACAAGAGTTACAAACTCAGTCAATTGGATGTGTTATTCGATAAATTTTCAAATTCATTTTTCTCAAAAAACAAACAAACAAACAAACAAAGATTTCTATAAACAAATTTGATTCTACATTTTCATTCAGCTTAGTTTTTTTTTTCATTATACCATCAATTATAGAGACACACCATACAAATACACAATTGCGAATTCATTTTAAATGTAAAACGTGAAGAACTGTTTTATAGGAGAGAACAAAAAATGAACAAACAAACAAACCAAAATCAATCTTATCTTCGCCAATTTTGTGTTAATTGACAAAATAAAATACAATTTCGATAATATGAGAGAAAGATTTTTCCTCTGTTACCGTAATTATAATAATAATAATAATAATAATAATAATTAATCAAAATTAGTCCTTATCATAATCATTGGTATCAGATTCAATACATGTAATTGTAAAAACAAGAATTAATGTGATAAAACCAAAGCCTACATTTAATTGTTCAAAGTTGACAAAAATCAAGAACAATTGCACAAAAAACATAACAGCAGATATAAAAATAATATTGAAAAGGATCTAGAAAAATCAATAATAAATCCTAACTCGTGTGATCCTGAAGCGCCGTCTATCTGTGGGACATACCACCAACGTTATGGGATTTCATCAGGAGAAAATCAGAAGAAGGGGTCAGAAAAGATATAAGACAGGACAGGGACAGGGACAGGGACAGGGACAGAACAAGACAGAGCAGGGCAAAGTAGGGGAAATAGAAGGACAGGGAAAGGACAAGACAGGGCAGGGCAAAGTAGGGGAAATAAAAGGACAGGGGTACACGACAGGTCAAACACACAGTTGTTGCAGGTGTCGCCGCGTTGCACGCTTTCTCTCCTCTCAACAAATTCTATTTTAAAACTTTCAAACACTGTCAGAGAAGAAGAAGTATTCTTATTGGGTTATTCATTATTTCGAAAATCTCATCGATTTTCATTACCTTTTTTTTATTTTTTTCGCTGGTTCACGTTTGACCCGTTAACTTTGATCACCGGCGGGGTGGAGGGGAGAGCTCAAATAAAGATATTAAATGTTGATTTCTTTATCTCATTAATATTTATCGCAGCGAACTCTCCACGTAGTAAAAAGAAAGGGGGGAAAAAAAGAAGAAGAAGAAGAAGAAGAAAAAAAGAACAGAGGATTAATATTCAAGGAAAAGAGAAAGAGATCAATGTCCGCTTTGATCATCTATCCAATGCTGGTTCCATGAAATTAATACTAATTAATGATCAAAGTTAATTTGGAAATGTAATTTTTGTCGAGTTCCGGGCCTACGTAAAGAAGGATATGGCTTTCTTGTGTCCGGTTCGTATACGCCGTGGGAAGAAAAAAAAACGTAAGTTGTAAGAACAAGAAACTTCTTTTTCTAAAGATACATATATGAATTTTGTGATACCAGGTATGGGGATTATCACGTGTTGCACTCATGGACTTATTGTTCTTGAATTTTAACCAAATGTTTCTTGAAATAATTTGCTTATAGCTAGTCTTGATTTATGATAGTTTTCAAGACTGATGTCTGATTTTAATTTATAATATATTTGTATAGCTGGAATTCATAACTTCAATTTGGAAAAGGACTGTGTTGGTACAGGAGGTACAGGACTTGGTACAGAAACCAGGGCGCCATTACCACCTGGTCGTATAACTGGTAGTGCAAGTATAGAAACTTTAGTGAGAGTTGGCATAGAAAAGGAAAATGGACTTTCTCCGGATAGTAAAATGGTTATCGTTCATGATTTTACACCATGTGTCGATGACGAGTTGCAGGTCAAAAGAGGCCAGGTTAGATTATTTGATATTGTATTATTAATTTTTTAATTGACTCTTTATGCTTAACATTTCATTTGGTTTTTTTTTTTTTTTCATCAAATTCAATTTAGGTTGTAAATGTATTATATAGAGAAAATGACTGGGTATATGTAATAGCAGCAGATACACGTATGGAAGGATTCGTGCCACATTCTTATTGCGCACCTTATACATCGCAGTTAGCTGAATTGACTCTTGCTACTCTTATGAATAATGTTAAAAAGAAGTTGCCTAGATCCAATGAAGGTGATGGTGATATCTCCAGTACGGGTCGTTCTCAAGCATTGGATGCACAACAAACTGATACAGGGTCAGCATCGGATTGTGAAAGCTATACTCGCAATGTTGTAACTGCAGATATTAATGTTAATCGATCTAACATTACTCAATCGCAAAATTCTATACAAACAATATCGTCTCAACCAGATGTGCATCCCTTTTTCAAGGTATAATTAATTAAAGATGATAACTTCAATTAATTCAACTGATATATATATATATATATATATGTATAATATAAATATTAAGTTATTTTTCATTTTATTAAAAGGATCCCTCAGCTGGAAGGTATATTGTGTTATATACGTTTGTCGCACGAGATGAAAATGATGTAAGTGTTGAAAGAGGAGAATTTGTAACGGTGCTAAATAGAGATGACCCTGATTGGTTTTGGGTGCTTCGACATTGCGACGGTAATGAAGGATTTGTACCATCTGGATTCGTTTATCCAGGACATGTACTTCATTCGTATGCAACAACAGGTAATCCTGCTGCGCAAACAACTTCAGCAGAACCACATACATTAGGTTTGTAGTTTATATCTTTAATACATATAAAGTAACAAACTTATCATAAATATATATCTATTTATTCAAATTCTGATAGACAAAAATGATTATATATATATATATAAAATATATCGAATAAGTATTTAAAAACCTAATGATATGACATTTGTTTTAAAAGAGACTGGCAATGGAAATATAACAGGAAGTGAACAATTGCAACAGAAAAGTTTACGAGACTTCAGAGAAGAAACTCCTGGCACCGAATTAGTAGTACTCTACGATTATAAGGCGCAGGCGCCAGATGATCTATCAGTGAGAAGAGCCGACTGGATATATGCGGATTTGGGAAATCAAACGGTTGATGGTTGGCTTTGGGCATATGCACCCAAAACTCGGAAATATGGTTTTATTCCTAAGGCGTATGCCCGTCCTCCTGCTATGACCAGCTTGTGATACGTATAGCAATTTTATACTAATAGAATATTTCTATATGGTGTTCTTGTTAAATCATATTTTTCTTTTATCATTTCTCATAATAATCTAATATCGCTAACGAGTATTATCTCGTTAATAATCTACGTCAATGTATGATAACGTTTAAGTTGAGATTGGTACAGCCAGAAGTAATATGACCGATCAAACCTTCATGGAGTACGATACAATCACCTTTAAAGAAAACTTCTTGGGGATGTTGTGCAGTCCTTAATGAATTTATTGGACCAGTAAATGTTAACGATCGAAAACTTTCGTTATCGATATTATCTACGACCTGTTTAACAATCCTTCTTTTAGTTTGCTTACACGAATTTGATATCTTACAAAAGAGATCAACGTACTTGAATAGTATATCGAAGAATATCTGCAGCATTTCCAATGTCTAATCCCGCGATCCAGACGATTATTGTATTTCTTTCACATTGACCCTCTCCACTAGCATAAACTTCATTGGAAAATGAATTTGTGGAGGGTAAACGAGCAGCTAATAGTGGAAGTGGTAGACGATTCCGATATTTAGGATTGATCTGGTTACTATTGAACAATCGTGCAGCAGAGTCTCTTGCAATCAAATCAAAATTCACGTTTAACATAAATTTCTAACGAATTAAGAGTTTAATTAGTTCACGATGATCATTATAATACTCACGATAATTTACCAGATACCAATAGAAGTGCTAAACATCGACTGGTGTTATAAGAAAGTGCTGAGAAAGCAACGATCAATGTACTTTTCAACCCAGGATCAACACACAGAATAGGTACTTCAGGATGATCGAAAAGAAAATGATGTGTTAATGCCGAAAAAGCAACGTTAACTGAACAATCAACACGAGGACAACGTATTGGTCTACGAGAACATTCCCATGTAGTTTGTACATTGAATTTTAATTCAGAATCAATCGATTGATCTCGATCATCTTTTCGTAATAAATTAAAATAACTTTGTTGCTGATGATAATATTTGCCATCATTTTGTTCAACGTTGTAATTGTTAGGATAGTTAGTAGAGTCCATTATTTTGTGTCCTTCTGTAGAGACACATATTGTTATTGTTAATTCAAAAAAATTTGACTATATATTCATATCGTATTTAACATAAATTGTTCTTGTCGTTGTTAGAATATTGGTTTTCACTGAATTGTTGTGCAATTATGTTTATAAAAGAGAAAAATATTTGATTATCAGTGCCACCGACGTAGTGGCAGGCACTTGATACTTTAACATACAAACATAATAAGGATAGTTGAGCGTGGGAAGAGATAAAAAAAAAAAACAAAGAAAAAGAAGAAGAAGAAGAAGAGATAAATGTATATCAGAGAAGAGAGGAGACAACGAAATTAAAGATATCTGACGTTTACGTGGCGTTGACCTGATTGAAAGGAATAGTGTTCTATGCAACGACGACATAAGAGATGTCCTTGGAAAGAAATAGATGTTCGTTCTAAAGCAACATTCGTCTCGTCTGTAGTTTTCCCAGTTAGACTGAGATGACAAACAGAGCACAGACCAAGTCTCGTCTCTGTTTTAATCTCTGGACTTGCATGATGATTCGATAATACCATCTTCTTTTTTTTCTCTTTGTCCTCTTCTTCTTCTTCTTCTTCTTCATCATCATCATCTTCTTCATATTCCTCTTCTTCTTCCGTCAGTTCCATAGAAATCCTTTTATCGCATGCCCTTTCACTCGTCTGCAGCTGTTTATTGCATTTGACGTAATGCTGATAATCCATTTCCTTAGAAAAATATCATCAATTCGTTGTAAGATTAATAATTTGTCTATCTTTTTCTCGGTTTTATTAGAATCATAAAAAAAAAAGAAAGAGAACAGAGTGAACTTCAGATAAAGTAATATTGACATTTTTGTGAAACAATCTTTCAATAGAAATAAATCAATTCATGATGTATAGTTCACTCTGCATATGTAAGGATTTTCTTAATAAATACAAAGTATTACAATAGTGGATTCAGGATATAAAAAATCAAATATAACAACAGCTTACTTTATGAGTATTTAAAATAATAGAAAATGAAAAGCATAACTTAGCATTAATAATTATTTTGTTTAAATCCACTATTATGATATTTTCCATTTAGTATGATAACCCAGTATATTGGAGAAAGAAATAACGATGATCTCTTTTCCTTGATGTTTGCAATGACGTTTTATAAAGTCACGTGCCTTTCGTTGATTTTTAATCATTCGGTCGTCTGCCCCGTTATTATCAGAATGATGATCCACCGTCCTTTTATCCATTTTTTGTCTTTCTTAAAATTTCTTGGGTCAATTTGTTTATCGTTTGCCACGATAACCCTTGTTCCGATAATACGTCAATGTACCTTCCTTATAACTGCGAATCGTACGAGTGCAATTACTGAACAAGAAGAAGAAGAAGAAGAAGGAGAAGAAGAAGAAGAAGAAGACGACTTTCTTTTTCTATTATCTGAAATACGTAAATACTTTTTTTTTTTTTTAATATTTCCTATAAATAGAAATATTGTTTAAAATATTTGATTTTGTAAAATACATAAACAATAATTAGTTAAACAAGCGTGCACACTATTGCACAAAGATATATATATATATATATTATTTTGATGTTGAATTATTTCGAAATATTTTATATTGTTTTAACATTTAACGAAACAACTTCTTGCGAAAGAAGAAAATGCGCTTCTTCATCGATGATTAAACTTACTGCGTTAATAAAAAGTGAGGTCAGAGAAAAACGACCAAAGAAATATCATTAAAATTCTTAATGACGTAAATCTCTTATTAACCCCTCGTTAAAAAAAAAAAAAAGAAAAAGAAAAGAAATAAAAAACGAAAAAATTTGACAACGTTTTTAAAAGCAAGACATCATCGTAAATGAAATCTTACAACAACAACAACAACAACATAACATAGTCTTCTTTTTATACTTGAAATATATTAATAGACGGATTATAACGGACCCGAAAATAATTATAATTAATCGTATTTTGAGTTGTTGTTTTTTTTTTATTATAAACAAACCCCTGTAATTTATTTTAATTTTATTTTTTTCACTCGTTAACCGGAAAGACCTTGATTTATGAATATAGTATGTATATATGTATGTATATGATTACATTTGTCAGACCATGTTGGCAAAGAAACAAATTCCGGTGATTTCAGAAAGTTTAAATCTTCTGTCATTTATATATATATATATATATATAGTTAATTATATACATACACACATACATATATACAAACGTAATGTTACATGTATCAAATACAAATTTCTTATTCTTTCATCATTTTCATATAATTCAATCAAATATTACAAGTTATGATATATCATCTATCAATGACTATGTAATAATAACGATTAATTACTTGCCGAGAATATCCTTATTTTGCAATTGCAAATAATAATAATAATAATAATATTCAGTAGGTGATGTATTTACGTGATAATACATAAATTCACTGTTCTTCAAATTTTTATATGTAAATAAATAATTTATAATGAACGTGAACAGATCGAATACGATAAGATAATTTTTCTTTCTTTATTTCTTTCTTACTTTCTTTCTTCTTAATATATATATATATATGACGATTATTATATAAAGAATTTGAATTTTTAAATATTTAATAAAAATAGTATTGCACTAATAATAATAATAACAATAATAACAATAATAATAATAATAAGAAGAAGAAGAAGAGATGAAAAGTATTTGTTTCATTTCAATACACTTTTCTAAAAATCATCATTGAGAAGTGATCTAAACCATTGCATGATGATTAAGATTAAATGTACATATTTATATAATAATAATAATAATAAAGTGATTTAAAATAATAATTTATAATAATTGGATACGTTATTTTTTTTTATTTCATTTATAAGCACAATCCAATAAAGAATAGGATGTGCTCGTCGTAGATATTTTAATAGCTAAAAGTAAATAATTAATTAACTATAAGATGAACTATGCTCTGAGCTTACAAATGTTTAATCTAATATTCTATGTATGTATGTATATGATATATTTCTCATTATTTATTTATTTATTTATTTTTAAATATAATCCATTTTTTATGATTTGTAATTACGTACAAATCTCATCAATAATACTATTTATCCCAAGATCACCTGTTTTGTTTGTTTTTTTTCATATAAAAGTTTATAATGCGATAAGATATATATATATATATCTAACTGGTTGTTTAATCTAATGACGAAATTAACTTTTCGTATTTTTTTTTTTTTTTTTCAATTTATTCTTACAGAAGAAGCAGATTCTCTTGTATATCTCAATTTTCCCTCTAATACATTGGCAAAATCAAATTTGATTATTCATTGGTAATAACTTGTCTTTCTTTCTTAATTATTCGTTCTTAATGCTTCACAAACAAAATAATACATTAAAATAGGATGCATTATATGATGATGCATTTTAAAACAATTGTAAATATATAGGGTTTTTTTTTTTTAAACAATTATGCGTTATTACTAATTTTTGTTTTTTTTTTATATCTTTTTCATGTCGTGTGTTAACATCTTAAAACTTAATTTATTATTATAAATATTTAAATTCTTTTTTTTTTTTTTGTCTATTTTCTTTTCTTTTCTTTTTTCATCATTTATTATACAGCCTTTGACCAATAATCGCAAAAATTAATAATACTTTACTGTGTGGAAACCTCAATCTTGACTGCTCACTGTTTTGAAATCTTATAAAGACACCTTTTTTTGCATTTTTATTTATAACTGTTCAACTTGTTATATCCATCGTTTTTTACTTTCATCACAGCCAAGAGAAGAATCTTTTGTCGAAATATATAAGTTTATGTATTTATATGTATACAATAAAAAAAAAAAAAAACAAGAAAAAAATCTTTTACATTTGTTGTGTGTAAGAGAGATCGGGGAACTTTAAAAAACAAATTTAAAAATAAGAAAATGATTCTTATCAAAAAGTTGAATGAGAAAAATCATTTAGAAAATTGCTAAGAACAAACACATTATATTCTCGAATTTAACGAAGGTGTATTATATTCTGACGAAATTATTCTTGATTAAAAATTATTTCTGATTAATTTCCGACAACAAAATTTAACTTCTTATAACTTAAATTAAAATATTATTATTATTTTTGTTTTTTTAATAGCACAAAGTTGCCATAACAATTTAATGTTCTCTAGGAAGGAAGAAGAAATAAAAAAAAAAAAAAAAAAAAAAAAAAAACAAACTGACAAATTAACAATTTGACATAGATACAAGATCAAATATCATGCATGGTCTCTATGTATGTAATAATTAAATGACAGGCTATGCAAGGCGCGCGATTTATGAATAATAGATATATATATGTATATATATATATATATAAACATATAACTCAAAACATGCTGCCATCACACTCAAAAGAAATATGTACTTTGTGAATATATTATTATACATTTATCTACAACAACACAATTTCTAATGAGTTATATGTATACGCTGCTATTGAGCTTTAAAGGCTTGTAATTTTATACAAGAAGGTGTTTCTATATGTTTAGCTTTCTCATACATATCTGTATCGTGAAAACTACGAGCTTTCCATACCATCGCATCTCCTACGAATAATAATAATAATAATAGAATCATTGAGATATTAAATATTAATTTATCAATTAATTAAGAAATAATGAAAAATAATCAATTACGGGATTGTAATACGTACTGTAATTTTTTTCTCTGTAACAATCTTGTCTTAAAGTCAACAAATATTCTTCCTCAACAGATATTTCTAATCGAAGCACATTGCCCTGATATTCGGTATGAAAATTTTCTTTAACGAAATACGGTATGTTAAGTTTTTGAGTTTTTTTTGCTATAGGATATTTGCTAATAAAGGAATGAAAAATGTTAATATATATCTTGATATAATAATAAATTGTACAATGTATATATTATTCGTTTTTGTCAATCTCAAAAACCATATATTTAATAAAAATGAAAAATTATTCTTGCAATAATAATAATAATAATAATAATATTAATAATATATACTTACGCACTATGATGTAAACTATATATAGGATCTGATATAAAAAAACTGCTCATCATAGATATCAATATTAACAACAAAAGAAGCAATGATTGGACAAATGTCGTATATCCATTTGCTTGCTAAAATATTACAAATTGTTTATGAATAATTATCTTCAAAAAAAAAAAGAAAAAAAAGAAAAAAGAAAGAAATACATATACTGAAATATTTATATTTTCTATTTTTCTTTGATACCTGAGAATGAGAGCTTTGTGATTGTGTTTCTTGTTGTCTCATCCATCTACCACCAGTACGTCTCATATAAAATTCTTGTTGAGGTATTCCTCCACCAAAGAACATATTAAATAATTCCTCAGCAGTAATGTCAGCTAAAATAAATATTTAATGAACATATGTAATCAACATTTTTCAATCAAAATAATAATACCACAAATTCATTTCAATATTTCAATTACCTTCAAAACCTCGCGTGTAATTATAATGCGTATGAGTTTGACGAGCTTGACTACTTTGTAGTCTTTCCTCTTCGGGACCATAAAGATCATATTGTTTTCGTTTTTCAACATCCGTAAGAATAGCTACAGCATTTCCAATAGCTACAATACATAAATTACATAACATTTTTAATCCATTATTAACAACCACTTACAACGTTTAATTATCTTTCATATTAAAAATGATTAACCTTTGAATGATTCTGCAGCTCCTGGTGCTTTGTTTTTGTCTGGATGTAATTGAAGTGCCAACTTTTTGTAAGCTTTCTTAATATCGCTGTCCGTTGCATCTTTACTTACTCCCAAAATTTCATAATAATCTTTACACTTTTTAATTCTATAAACGTTTGATTATTAGATTAAACAATGACAAATCTAATATTAATTTGTAATAATTTAAGTTTATGATTTTTATGTTTCAAAATATAAAATAAAATGATATATATATATATA